AGTGGAAAAGAAGCCCAGGACCCTGAGAAAGTTAACAATCCCCCCAGCCCTCATATGCATTTGGGCACTCACAACTGCACCCTCGCATGTTAAAGTTGATGTTTCCATCTTCTCAGTAAGAACAGCAACTCTGTGAAAGCTGGCCCTGGTTTGCTCCATCCAGCATCCTCAGTGCCCAGCAGAGTTTGGTAGGGAGCAGGTGTGACCAATGGCAGTTCAGTGAATGCAAACAGCATGTTGGGGCAGCATGGTGCTCAGACCCCACCCAGCCTCCTCATGACCATGAGACCTTGGGCAGGTTACTTAGCCTCAGTGAGCCTCGTAGTTAGGGTTGAATATAGGAAAGCATCTTACACCCAGCCTGCAGCCTGGCTCTATGTAGGGATTCAACAGGCAGGTCGACACGCTGGAAGGATGTGCCACCACTGAGGCAGAGCAATTCTCAGAGACCCCTCACTCGGCCTCACTTGTCTCTGGCTAGAGGCTGGCTTCAGTGTTCTAGCTTCTGGGCAACTCTGTTGGCCTTTCTCGGGGAAGACAGGGGCCTCCTTAATACACACCAGGTCCAGCCCCCCTTTGTTCCAAGCCTCTGTCCACTGCCAGTCCTGACGCCTCATGTTCCTGAGCCACGCCAGGCAGGTCATCCATTGGCAGAAGCTACAGCTTCCCGTGCGGGGCCTGCAGACAGCTGCAGGGTATCTGAGCTCCAAACCCTGGCAGAGCTCTGTGCTTTGCTTACTGGGTTTATGTACTTGAGTTTAGTCTTGAACACAAGTTCTCAAGCTATTGACCCAGAACCAACAGAATTAGAGTCTCCTGGGGACCTGTGAGATATGCAAATTCTGGGCCCCATCATCCACCTTCTGAACCCGGAGTGCTGGGGTGTGAGGCCCAGCCATCTACATTTCAGAGCACCTCCTAGCGATTCTGATATACTCTCAAAGCAGAGAGCCATCCTGAAGAAAAGCCTAGTTCCCCTTTCTGAATCACAACTCTCTCCTCCCCAAACTACAGGGGTCTTCTCGTACCCCAGGGCTGGGCACCCGTGTCCTGGTCATACTTTCCAGCCTGCTCCAGGATTTCAGGCCAGCCCCATCCATTATGCTTTGCCTTCTTGATTGAGAACCAATCAAGTTCTGCCATCCAGGAGGGCTGTGCTTCCCAGTCCCCTCCACAGCCCCTGCCTTGTCAACAGGAGGAAATGGGGTCAGGGCCTGCAGTTTTTCCTTCTGCGGGCCCCTCCCAGAATCCCACAAGCCAGAGGGAATCCAAGATTGAGATCCTGTCCCCATGGACATGATAGGAGAAACAGCTTAAGGATGGAAGATGCCCTTGTCACTCACTGAAAGGAGAAATGAGAGAGACCCATGGGCAAGCCCATAGCAGAAAGAGAAATGGGGAGAGGACTGCGGAACACCAAGCTCCCCAGCACCCTGGGGCTCCCTCACCTTAGCAGACATTGCTGACCAGCTAGTTGTCCCTGCTGCATCCTAGGCAGGCTTTAAGTTTCACTTTCTGCTAAGCTCCAGTCACTCGTTGCTGGTTGCTAAGGCCACCTGCATGTCCCTGATTGCAAGTCCGCAAATGTGGCCCAGAAATCCATTTAACTCCTAGAAAATGCATGGGCACAGCCCTCGGGGAGCACTGGAGAATTTGCCGCAGAAGACCGAGCTGCTCCCCAGCTCTGCCTGCCTGATGCTGTCGTAATTATACATTGATTACCGCTCTCCCTCTGCACCGCTGGCCCCGCACAGCACTTCGTAACTACAAAAGGATTTGCCGGTTACAGGCCAGTGGAATCAATCTTCTGATGAGCAGCGTGGGCTCCCGGGCAGCGACACCCTCTGCTAACACCCAGGCTTCTTCCCACCTCTGCTCAGGTTCATCTCTCTGTACGGCTGATACCCAGCACCCACGCACCTGCTGTGAAAGTAACGCCTCCAGGTGTGGCCTCCCCGCAGCTCCCGCTGCTGCCCACACCCTCCTTAGACATCTCCCCAGCCAACTTGCTCCCCGTCACCCCAGCTCAGCCTCTGCTGGAGGAAGAGCTGCTGTAAGGAGCACAGTCAGTGTGTGGAGAGGGGCTGCGGAGAAAAATGGGGGTCACAGTGAGTGGGGACAGACGTTGCTTCAAGATGCCCATTCTCTGTGTCTCCGAGTGTTTCCAACATGGTGTCTGTGACAGACATAATGTGGGGCTGTTAACAGGGGTTAAGTGGGGGAAATGATGGGGAGGGGTTGGAAGAGAAGTGTCTGTGGTTGCATTGATTTAGGACAGTCATCCTGGAAATCAACCAGGATTTCTTACTATCCAGAGTCTTTGAGTCTGTAGTGTAGTTAATGAATGTTGTCTCTCCATGTCCAAGGCTTCCCATCCCTGTCTGCAACCAACCATGGACTGAAAATATTTTAAAAAAGTACATCTTCATTGAATATGTTCACACTTTTTCTTGTCGCTATTCCCTAAATAACACAGTAGAATAACTATTTACATAGCATTTACATTGTATTAAGTATTATAAGTAACGTAGAAATGATTTAAAGTACATGGGAGGATACACGTGGGTTACATCCAAATACTATGACATTTTATATAAGGGACTTGAGCATCCTTGGACTTTGGTATCCTTGCTGAGTAGAGTAAAGTCCTTGGAACCATTACCCACAAATAGTTAGAAATTCCCCCCAAAAGGGGAAGATGCTCACATGTATTTGTCCACAGCACTCTATTCTGTGGAGCCTGGCAGGGAACCAGTGTTCCAGGGAACACGCCTTGGGAACTGGCACTGTCTCTGCTGTGTGGGGGGAAGTGGGGCTGATTCCCTCACATGGCTTATCCACATCCATCTCTCCATAGACATCTCATGGAAAGGCAATGAACAGCCAGACTTGAGGCCTGCAGTGTCCAAACCCGTGGCCCCCAGCAAGGGCATGAGGACCCTAAAAGGAGTAGGTATAAAAGGGTGAAGGGCAGCAGAGGCTGGTGCTGAGCATCATGCTGGTCAGAAAACAATTCTTGGACCTACCCTTGTAGACACCTTCCAACACATTTTGGAATAATGGTCTCATTGAATCCTATCAACAATATTCAACCAAATGTCTGCATCATTATTACCATTCTACAAATGTGGAGGCAGACTCCAAGAAGCTAAGAAACTTGGAGCTATCAGGATTTGCAAAAGGGGTTCAAGATGATCAATCCTACTAAGGACCCCAGATGGAAGTCTTGGCTGGCCACAGTAGGGCAGAGGGAGACTCTGCCCACTACTACCATTCATGCCAATCAAGCTGTCAAGAACCCAGGCACTTCTGCAGGGGTTCTATTTTCAGGAATCCTACCTCAAGAATATTCCTCTGACTTGGTGTAACATTTGCAGGAGTCGGTGTCTTCTCTTCCCCAAACCCTGATGAATCCACCTAATGCATTTTTAAAGAAAAACTATCCATCAGTGAATTCTGTGATCTATCACATAAGCAAATGGTACATGTACTTCACATGTGTAGCACCCATTCCCTGTACAAAATATGTAGCAGTCATTCACTGGCCAGCACATACAGTAAAGGGCACTACTACAATATTTTCACTTTAGTGAAATGACCTTGAGGTCACCAAATGTGCTGATGTAACACAGTGGTGTGTGGTTCTGAGATAGAGTCTGTTAATTGTTAAGCAAATTCATTTTAGCACTGCGTTGCCTTAGATGGAAGTGGCCTGGGCTACAATGTCATCTAGAAATATTCAGTGACAAGGACTGCATTGCTCAAGGTTTAATAATTTTTCCAACAGGTATTCGATGGCATTCGGAGTAACACACCCCAGCTAGAGAAACCAGCAGTGCTACTGGGAAGTTCAAAATAAGCTGCCATTCACTACTCTTGCCCCATCCATCCACAAAAATTTATTGAGCACCTGCTGTTTGCCCAGACAGGTTTCCGAAGCTTCCCTGGTCCACAAAGTGTGATTGTCTTATGGAGGGGTCTTTACAAGTGAACAATGAGCTAATCTTTGTGAGCGAGAGCTACATGACAGGTTTGCTTCACCAAATCTTCACTACAGAGCTCTGACGCGAGCAGTATTATCTCCGATGTTCTAGAGGGGAGACTGAAGTCAGGGAAGTCAAATTACCGGCAAAAGTTCACACAGCCATGGTGATCTGTCACCGGGAGTCAATCTCCTTCCTCCTTACTGTGTTTCCTCCTTACTGTGCTTCTCTTCTGGACTTCAGAAGGCTTAACAATATCATCTTCACTGTCAGAATCATGTTCAGAATAGATCCTGCCTTGGCACCAGCTAAGGATGATGGGATCTGGGACAGAGTGGCAATCCTAGCCATCTGTCAGAGGCACAGGGCTCCCCACAGCACAGGTAAGGTCTGGTTGTCTCACGTCTGGGTCGGGAGCTGGGAGCTAAATTGTGAAACCTTTGGTCCAGACTCTAACCTGCTGCCAAGAGTTGAACGATCATGGTCAAGGTGAGGAGCTCCCTCCCTTCCCTAAATAAAGCAGGAGCTTCCCTACCTCCCATGGCTTTTTCTCACTGGCTGATGCTTCATTACACATCTATATGTCTGCTGCTTCAGAGTCTGTGACAGCCACTGAAACAAAAGTTTCATCACCCCCATTCACACAGCATTCCTGGTGTAGCACATACCCAGCACAGAGAAGGTTTAAAACTATTTGTCAGATGAATAAATGAACAGAAGTCCAATGTGGTCAAAGAAGATGCAAAAGGGCACATGGCACACCTCTTGCTCTGGAGGAATTCAGGGCACTGCAAGAACTTGCTAATGAATAACCAGACCCATTTCAATAGCTCCAGTATCTAAAGGGAGTAAAGAAGTAGATTCCAGATTACAGACCTTTAGTGACACCCATGAGAGGTTGTAAGAGACTTACACTAGTGGTGGTCTGTGCACTAAGAGCCCATGTGGCCCATTGCACTGAGTTGCATAATGCTGCCCCCCCCCATCAAAAAAAAAAAAGTCATGTCCACCCAGAACTTCAGAATGTGACTTTATTTGAAAATAGGGTCTCAGCACATGTGATTAGTTAAGATGAGGTCATGGCAGATTAGAATGGGCGCTATTCCAATGACTACTTATAAGATGAGAAAACAGAGATGCAAAGACACATAAAGAAAGACATCTAAAGACAGAGGCAGCAATTGGAGTGATCTATCTATCAGCCAAGGAACTCCACGGATTGCCAGTAACCACCCGAAGCTCAGAAGAGGCAAGGAAGAATTCTTCTCTAGAGTCTTCAGAGGGAGGATACCCTGCAGACACCTTGATTCCAAGCTCTAAACTCCAGAACTCTGAAAGAATAAATTCCTGTTTTAAGTCACCCACTCTGCAGTACTTTATTACGGCAGCCCTAGGAAATGAACACACCCACCAAGTACACATCCTGCCAGACTTACCTCATTTCCTTAATGGAATTACCAGAACATTAAAGTAATGGGCAAGTCTTCCTGCAAGGATACACCTCCCTCAGCCAGAGGCTTATCAGATCACGAGCATCCTCAGACACGCTCCATGGTCAGATGGAACAGCCTGGCTGGACCAAGGGCTCTTGTCTCAAAGAGATGGACTCTTCTCCAAAGATTTTCAGCATATTATGGGAAAGAGGCTGAGGTCTGTGAGAATGTGATGCAGGACTATCTGGACATAAATCTGGTTTGCAACCCCTGTCTTTTCAACATCCCTATAGCCTAGATCAGACACAGGTCAACACCAGAAATGAACAGAGTACTAAGTCCATGGATAAAGCAAAATCATCAGGTAGAATTGGTGGGATCTAAGAAGGCTCCGTGGACAAAACTTGAGGTTCAAAGGAGGAAATGTGGGCAGAGAAGGGAGTGGTATTAGTTGTTCAAGTAAGCACAGTGAGATGGGGACCAAAATAATCCCAGTGTTCTCACAACTGTGCAGTAGAGAAGGTCAAACTCCTATGCTCAATTAGGGAGTCAGCCATCAGGGCTGTGCAGGTTATAAAATTATAGGGGATTCCACTCACACAAAGTTTACCCCTAGAATTCTTAGCACACACCCTGCATCCCAGTCATGGGTAGGCTGTATGACAACCACCATGTCTGCCTGGAGCGTCATCTACGGAGGTTGCAAAAGTGTCTGTGTAGTAAGTTCCCAACATGGCACCAGTTAACTGAGGCTTCCATTCATGGGTAATTATGAAATACACATAACTCGTGAAAAATAATTCAATCTCACTTCTGTGCAAGATGGCGGCCTTGAGTAAAGTAAATACAAATGTGAAATTTCTAGCTGGCTCCAACTTACCACCTCTGTTGAGTATCTTCTCGGTTTGCATGTGGAGGCTGCACCAGGCAACTGCCAACCACCTCACCAACCCTACTGCCAGCTGCCAGCACCTTGAAGTTGGCAGCATCAGCTGAAATTCTGGGGTCAAGCAGAACACAGTACTATGTGCACACAGCAAATACTTCTGAGGTATCAGTGTCAGCCACCATTTTCTTTAGTTCATGAGTGGCTAATGCCATCCAGTTACGAATGACAGAAAAAGATGCAGCAAAACTACAATCCCAAGTAATTTCAGATGCTATGTTCAGTGCATTTTATAGTCTAAAGAACAGAAAGAAAAAGGTGTACAGATTCTATTACCAGAAAATGTTTCTCCCTATTCCCAACAAATTAAATGTTGGACAGATACTTCAAGGATATTAGATAGAAGAGGTGCATGTCATCAGTCTGCACAGGAGGACCATGGGACTCAATGAGACTCTGATGCAAGCTGTGTGATTTTCCCACATAGTCCCAGGACACTAGCACTGGATGGCCCTTGGAGATGGTCCAGTCCAGCTGTTTTCAGGCTCTTGCAAGAAACTTTAGGATGCCACAGATGTACCTCCAGGCTCCTTCACACAGGAGAACCTCACCCTTCCCTAACCAGAAAGACCCCCATTTTAAAATCTGTTTAATTTTTGGAGCTCTGTGTTAGATTTCATTTTTCATGTTAGTTGTTTTGTTTTGATTTCCTTTTTTGTGTATGCATGTGTGGTGCTGGGGATTGAACCCAGGGCCTCATGCATGCTGGGCAAGTGCTCTACCACTCACCACACCCCCAGGCCTTTGTTAGAATTTTTGTTGTTTTTTTTTTTTAAGTGCAGCAATTACTGCTGTTAACCCAGTACCCTTATTGTGAAAAGAACAGGCCCTATAACTAGGGAGATTGGTTTCATCCCTTATCTCTGCCACCTACTCGCTATGTCTTTAGGAAAAAGTCCAGTCCCTCTCTTTGCTCATCTGAAAAATTGAGATAACAATATCTACCTCCTAGGATTACACCAGTCATTTGTAAGAAACAGGACAATATGTGGCATATGCTAAGCACACAGGAACTGTTAATTTCTAATTTTGCTATTTTACATCTACGCTCTACAGAAGGGGAATCTTAGACTCAGAGAGACAAAGCAATTGTGTCCAAGGTTGGTGTCATTTGGACCCAGAACCCTTGGCTCTGAATGTAAGGTACTTTTATGCCACTTGACTGGCTCTCATGACCACCAACCATCAAGAAGACGTGCCCACATTCCTGGTGACCGCAGCCAGCACTTGTCTATCTACTGAGTCAAACAGTTCGCCAGCTTCAAATGGAAGCTGATTAGTTGTCCAACTTGATTGAAGAAGAATTCAGCTATGAGTGTTCTTGAGCTGCTTGAACTGTCCCCAAAGTGGGCCCGAATGATTGAAATGGAAGTCAGCTGGCGGCAGGGTGGGTGGACATGGACCTCAACCACTCTGCCCTCTCCAGGTCTGCCAGTGCCACCAAGCTCCCCATACGGTGCCCTGTCTCTACCATGATTTTTAGAAAACACCGTATCCCCTGGATTCCAAGATGCTCATTTCTTTTTCACACTGCAATGTTTCTGAGATGAATCCTACTATTGATATAATACTTCCATCGCGGTAGTTTTCTCCTCTGAAAAAGTATTATTAAATCGATGTTGAGTAGTAGAATTGGTGGCATATTAAAATAGAGAAAAAGCAGTCCTGATGTAATAGGACACTCCATTTCTCTAGAAAAAGATAAGAGAGAAAAATGTCTCAAGTCACACTACTGGATGCCTGCATGTACCCCAGCTTGTGTGTCTCACATACATTCAAGGTGTCAAACAGGGTGCAGCGGGGCTCTCCTCGTAGGTAGAGGCTGGCTTCGCCCCAAGCCTGGGGCAAGTGGCAGCAGGAATGGCTCTGCCTCACACTTGGAATCATGGGTGTTCACTACCCATCTCCACAGACATGGGGATGGGAAGTCCAGCCTGGGCTCAGAGTTTCCTGGCTGCTGCCCCAGCAGCCTGAGGACTGGGTGAGGCTCTCAGTTGACAGCTTCCCTAGCCAGGAAAGCACCCTGGAGATACACCGTTCCTGCCTCTCCATGGTATCATGGCTGAGAGCTAGGGTTCCGAGAGGTAACTCAGGGGAAAACTAACATCTGCACTCAAGGAGGAAGTTGCTGCAGCCCCCACACCCTGCCCCATGGCCAGGGCAGCACCGTTCTCACCTCCAAATCTGGAATGTCTTCCTGGCAAGGCCACAGGGCCTGGGTATGGGAGCCTCAGCCTGCCCAGGCTTGCACCTCGGCCCCAGCACCTCCTCGCTGCATCACTTGAGCTTCTGCTTCCAGAGTTGGAAAACAGAGGTGCAGAGGCGCGCCAGGTCAGAGCACCTCCCACACAGGCCGCCAGGAGGGGAGCAAAGGCTTGAGGGGTATGGAATGCCAGGAATGTGACCCTGCACCCAGCAAGTCCTCCTTAAGTGTCGGTCTAGAGATTTAATGTTTGCCTAGCAAATGGCTATCCAGCCTTTGGAAATTCAGCCCAATAATCACATCCGGGCTGCCTTTCCCTTCCCCTCGATTTTTGCTATTTTCCATCTAATTTTGCTATTTTACATCTACACTCTACAGAATCTCGGACCCAGAGAGACAAAGAAATTGTGTCCAAGGTTGATGTTATTTGGACCCAGAACCCTTGGCTCTGAAGGTGTTTTTATACGCAGTGTAGGGGTCATCTCACTGTCCATTGCTGGCCTCACACTAGAACTGTCTGCTCATTTCCTATCTTACAGGGGAGCTTGGGGACAGCAGGGACTGAGATGTGATCATCTCTGTGCCCTCGGTCCTTAGAACAGGACCTAGCACCAAGGACACTCTCATGAGTGTTCAACATATGAAGTGGAACAGGCCAAGACAGGGTGCAATGTACACAATGGTTATGACAGATCTTTCCAAAGCATAAAAGAGACATTTGCTCGAGGAAGATTCAGGGAGGGAAAAAATAACCTTAATATGAGAAGCAATTCACCAGGTGGTACCCAGTGTCTTTAAGGCCCAGGACCTGCAAACATCAGATCAAGGGAAGCTCTCGGGGTCCTGCTCATGGGAGAAGCCTCCTTCAGAGCCAACAGGAAGCCTGTGAAAAGCTCTGCCCAACACAGCTCTGACCAGTCCCCTCTGGCTGCAGGCCCAAGGCAGTGGCACAGGACACAGAGGCAGCTCCCCACACCAGAGGCCAAGCCAGCCAGGGAGTGGGTGGCTCATGTGCCTGCTCATCTTAACAGTGCTGCAGGGACCACTCTCTTAGGTCCTCAGGCCCCATCAGGCCTCCAGGGAGCAGGATACTGAGATTCCTGCCAGCCTTTCTCAGGGAGCCACTCTTCTTGCTGGGAGAAAATTGTTGTTGGCACAACAGAACACAATTCTGCCACCCCAGAGTCGGCAAAGCTTATAGGGCCGCTGTCCCAGAGTTTCACCCTGCAGAGGCCCCTTGGTTGACGCTTCTGCCATGGAAAACTCATTTTGTTTAACCTTTCCTTCTGTGATGGCATTTTAACGAAAAAGTCACTTAAGACCTGCAGTGAAAAATACATTTTACTAGAATAATGTATGACCCAAATACCATTTGCCTTTTCTTATCAATGCTTCATTCATTTATCATCTTTATTAAAAATCCATGAAGAAACAGCAGCCTCCGTAACTGCTGGGCACCTTTTTCATGGAGGTGAGAAGGGAGGGGAAGAAGGGGAGGTGACAGAGGACTCTCTGAACAGCAGCCCTGCATAGGCCCTTTCTGTACCTCTGCCCACAGCCACATGCAGAAAACTCCATGTTTGGAAGCTGAAAACCAACCTTTCTTCTCCAAATGCAGCACCAAGTTGTAGGGAAGAACTAACATTCCTGCATCACCACTGCTAAGCCAGGAGACCTGGGGCAAGTTCCTTGTGCCTTCCAATGCTCAGTTTCGCAGTTTGCACAATGGGCATAATAACACCAACTTCACAGTACTGTGGTAAGGATTAAATGAGAAGGCAAAAATCAGATGTCTGGTAAAGATCAGTTCCTTCATTAACTCATCCCAAAGCACAGGCCAGAGGGAAGCTTTCCTAGAACAGCTTTATCATAGAACCATACCCAAAGATCTGCCCCAAAGCCTTCCCGGGGTTGTGGGTGTGCTGCTACTGCCAGAGACTCTCAGCATCAAGAGAGTAGGCAGCTGAGGGGCAGAACCCACCAGCTGGGAGCTAAGAACAGGACAAGAGAATGGATAGCAGCAGTTGCCACCCACCTTCCCGTGTCACCTCATCACTAATGAACAGGAGGGCAGGCATCAGTGTACCTGTGTGTCCCCAGGAGAAAGTGGTGGCTTTCAGGGATGAAGGGACCTGCCCTTGACCACATAGGAAATAAGGGCAGGGCAGGGCTGTGGCCAGGGAATCTGAGTGCCCCCAGGGCCACCCTCTTCACTTTTCTCTTATTAAAGGTGTGGGACCATTATCCATGTTCATTTGCCACAGATGGAGTGCCTGAAATGACAGGAATGCATTTGCTCACGGTTCTAGAGGACAATAAGTCCAAAATCATTGTGCTGGCAGCAGCGGTTCCCCTGGAGGCTGGGAGGGCAGGATCTGCTCAGGGTCTCCCTCTAGGCTTATACATGGTGTCTTCTCACTGTGTCTGGTCTCCTCGTCTTCCCTCTATGTATGACCTTGTGTCCCAATTTCTCCCTCCCATATGGAGACTGGTCCTGCTAAATAAGGACCCACTCTAGTGACTCATTTTAACCTGATTAGTTTTAGAAAGTCTCTATCCCTAAGTAAAGTCACCTTCTGAGGTACCATAAGTTTTTCTGAGGACACAGTTCAACCTATACCCTAACTCTAGATACTGGGCCTTCAGTACACAGGATCGAGGGCTTCACATGTTGTCCCAGAAATACCACCACTGTCACCACCACCAAACCAGCCTCCACCCCCACCAACCCAGCACAGCACCGTCCCAAAACTCTGCGATGGCTCCATAAAGCCTTCTGCAAATAGCAAAGCAAGTCATCACAGGAACACACAATGTGTCCTTTATTAAAAATGCCACAGGGAAAAAGGTTCGCATATATTTCTCCCAATATTAAATGCCTCACCTTTAATCCCCATTTTAATAATGGGCAACTCAAGGGTATAAGAGGACATTTATCCTGGGTCACATGCTGGAAAGTGACAAAACTAAATTTGGGCCTGTCTCTTGCAGGCCCAGGCTTTCCCTTCACATCACTTGCCTGGGACTTCACGCAGTATCCCACACTGTCCTCGTGTTCAGAGATGGAGGGACTCTCTATGTGTCTCCTGCAATTTGCTAACTCTTCCCTGCTTTCTCCTTCCCTGAAAGAAATATTCTCCCAGCCCAGGAGTTGGCCCCCACCTTACTCTACCCAGAGCCCTCGGGGAGTCAGACAGCCACAGGCAGGGGACCTGCCCCACTAACCATCGAGGTCAAGCTATTCTTCTCAAGTCAGTGCTTCACCTAGCACCCCCCTGCCTCTGGGGAACAATTCTCCTGGTGTGATGCCCACAGGGCAAACTTAAGCTCAGCTTGCAGTCAGTTCTTTTCCTAAGCTTTGCTCCAGTAGTCTAACCCTTGGCAGCAGAACATCAGAGAGCTGGGAAGACAGGGTCTGCTGCCTTAACTGCAGAGCTCTGAGACTGCTTCCAGACAGCTGCCAGCCTCGAATCCAACCAGGAAGGGCCCCAAGTAGCTTTCAACTTGTGAGTTTGAACATCGAAAAGTTGGAGAAAGATTTAAATGCTCAGCTGTAACTGGTATTTCTGTCTTCTCTGTGCAGAGGGGTCACTGCATCATGTCATCTGACGATGTTCCATCCCCACACACACATGAGGAAACTGAGGCACAGGGGTTTCCCTGGCATGGGCCTGGGGCTGGAGGTCACAATGCTGGCAAGCAGGATTCACACCCAGGCCTTCCAATGCCAACTCTAACACTCTTTCCACCCGGCCCTGCCCGCCCAACACCACACTTTTGTGGAAACTATTCTGAGAAATCAAAGCAGCTCTTTTCAATCCAGAACTATAAATATCCAGAGAGAGGGAGATGAGAAGAGAAAACAGACATCCTTTCCCAGGATTTGGGAGCAAATTTTTGCAAAGCTCCCAAAAGTATTTTGAGTTCTGAAAGGCAGAAACTGATGGTAAAGGGAAAAAGAAGAAGAGGAAAAAGAAAAAGAGAAAGAAAAGAAAGAAAAAAAGCCAAGAGCAGAAGCTTAAGGGCTGTGCTGATCAGACACTGTGACATCACAGTCTTGTACCAGCGCCCTAAAACCACAAGGATCATTGGCTGCTCAGTGCTAGTGAGGCACACACTTAATATGTGTTCGCTTGTTTAACTCCCTCGAGAACCTAATGAGGATGTGGGTTTCTGAAGTTAACCCCATGTTATGGTTGGAGAAACTTGAACACAGAGAGGTGAAGAAACATGCCCAAGGCCACTGAGCTCGTAAGCTTTAACACCAGCATGTGCAGTCTCAAATCCCTGGTTTGTAACCATTTTGCCTATTGCCTCTAGCAGAACAGCCCACACCACATCCCAGGAGAGCAGGCATTTTCCTGGGAGCCTACGCTCCAGCGGCAACTCTAGCTGAGAAGCCAAGTTCAGCCCTGCAATCCCACATCCCCAAAAGGATCACAGGCAGGCGCCCAGAGAAGTGTAACTAGAGTAAATATCTAGTAGCTCCGCCCTCAGAGGTCCCTTGGGTCTTCCCTTCCACATCTCCTTTCCTCTCCAAGGCCTTCCAGAGTCCCTCTGCCTTGTTGGGAGTCTGGAAGAGCCAGTCGCCTCAAATGCAAGCCTGAAAGCTGTCAGCAATGCTCATCACAGTGATGCAATACAGTCCCCGATTCCAGGACAAATTGGTTGCTAATCAGGTTTCTTGGAATTTGATGCCAATTCTTCTGTGAAAACTGTGCTAACCCAACCCACACTGCACATTTACCCAGGATGAACTTGGCCAACACTGACTCTAGTCTGCACTGACGTGGGCACTAACCACATGTGGCTATTTGGATTAAATATGTCAATTAAAATTAAATAAGTCACAATAGCCACATTTTATGGGTTCATAAGTGGCATGTGCTCTGAGTACGTACTGAAACAGAACAAGTCCAGGACATTCAACTTGTCACAGAATGCTCCCTCTATTAGACAGTCCTGAACCAGATCCTAACCCCTTCTCCAGCAATGCATGAGACAAAAAGTTCCTTCAGAGGTTAAATTGAGGTGCCAGGGACACATCAGCCCTTTTAAGGGAAAGGTACACTGCAGGGGACAGGGTCAAGTCTGTACACCAGCCCTGACACTTCCTAACCACGAAACCTATTTCCCTGAACCTCAGTTTCCTGGTCTGGAGCAAAGAGGGTGGTGACCTCTTTTCAGGTGTCTATGAGGATGAAGTTGAGATGATGCTCAGCACACTCAACGTTCACTACTACCTGCCACACAGTTGTGGCCAAAGTACCCAACTCTAAGCTACTGCCAATGACTACCGTAGTCAGGAATGAAGCGGTGGAAGGTTGAAATGGGACTCCTGCTGGGGAGGCCAGGTGGGGAGGAAGGACACTGCAGTCCCATTGTCCTTCTTGCTCTCCTTCCTTACTGGTTAATTTGGTCCCTACATTAGATGGATCCAAGGCCACATGCAAGTTGTCAACCGTGAGACTAAGTATGTCAATTTTAGAGACAGGAGGAAGAAAAGCTGGAGATCCCTAAGGTGGGCCTGGAATAGGAGAAAAGCTCTTGAGCCATTGAGGAATCCATCCATTCATCCAATAAATGATTACTGAGCACTTCAGAACCTAATGTTAGATATAAGGTAGATGAATGAGATCTGGTCTCTGCCCTCCAAGCCCCCACAAAACAGTAGTGAGACTGACAGAAGATAAATCAATACATTAGTGTATGAGTTCAACATCAGAAAATCCAGTGGGTTTTAGAAGCCTGGACAACCAGATGGTAGGTAAAAGAGACTTGGGAATGGCTGGTTACAAAAGTTCAGAGATTTCCTGGAGGTGATACTTGCATTGAATGTCAAGACAGGGCAAAGAGGTGTTTCAGGCAAAGGAAATCACAGGAATAAAGACATGGGGTATGCACATTCCATGTCACTACATCAAACAGCTCCACAGAGGAGGGATTTATAGGAACTGATGGGAGATGCAGAGGAAGTGAGTACAGCAAAAATTCTTAGGAGCAAAAGACTAGGGAGACCACTGTCATTTGTGTATAAATGACATAAGTCATTTGTGTATAAATGTTCATAAGTTAGGAATCATGTATTATTCATATTTAAAAATTGGAAACCTAGGCAAAAATATGACTTTTGTTTGGCTCCAGGATGACACAATGGTAATAGACAAGTTACCAAAGTTGTTCTTAAAAGGGCAGGTGACAAAACATTGGAGACCTCACAAGACATTTTTCCTTCCCAACCACTCATATCTGCAGCTGTAATGCAAAAGCAGCCCCAGACAATGTATAAATGAATGAGTGTGGCTGTGTTCCAATAAAACTTTATTCATGAGAACAGGCAGTGAGCAGGATTTGGCCCTGCTACAAGAACATCCTTGGGACCAGCAGGCAAATATGAATAAGGATTGTAGATAAAAGTATTATATTGACTTAATTTTCCCCAGTGCTAGAAGGATATTGTGGTTCCACAGGAGAATGTCTAAAGAGAGACATGCTGATGTATTTAGAGAGCATAATGTCTGTGTTTCTCAAATGGTTCAGGGAGATAAGAAGTTTCCGTAGAGAGAAAGACAAGATAAATGTGACAAAATGCTAGCAATGGTGAGGTCTGGCCAAAGGACATCAGCTGTTCCTGGTACTACTCTTAGACCTTCTTTGTAAGTTTAATATCTTCCGAAATAAAAAGCCTAGAGAAAAAAATGGAAATTTGAACAACTTCTGAGGAGCAAAAGGTCCACAAGAGCTCATTCCATGCTCTACCCCCTCTCACCTGTCCTGGCACCTGCTTGTCTTTTTCAGACCAGAAGGAGGGACACTTCTAATCAAGTCTCTTGACTCTCTTCATTAGTTTTGCAATACTAAAGAAGCCTGTTCGAATGCAAAAAAAAAAAAAAAAAAAAAAAAAAAAAAAAAACGGGTGCAGATTCTTGGCTCCTTTTGAAGTTCCTTTATATCAGAATGCCTGTTTCCACCCACAGACTAGTTTCTTTCTGAAGTGTGTCGAAGAGCAAGCAGCCATCAGAGCCATTAGCACTCCCCAGCGAGGAATTCCTGCTTCTCTTTAGCAAATGTGTCTGCTCAAAGGCCACCTGGAAGCCCACGGGTGATTTGTGTGAAGCTTTTCTGCTGAGCCAGGAGCCAATGACACTGTTAAAAAGGTTGGCAGAATCACTTCTCCAAGTTACCCAGATCAAGATCTCCAATGATCCCACTGCGGAACGATTTCCTGATTCTTGACTTACTAGTAATCAATACCATGAAAAATACTAACACCTCCATTAAAGTGGACATCCATTGATTTCTATTGGGAAGGTGGAGTTGTCTGGAAGCCCAGTATCTGAAAGAGCTTCTGTTTTGATTTTTCATCTGTCAAAGCAGTACCGTAAAATACAAAACATGCAATTCCTGGAAAGGGTGATGGAAGAGACGTGAGGGCAATGACCACTTAGACCCCCACCCTCCCATTTTCCCTGCAAAGCATGGCCTAAGCTCAGCACCAGTCAGTGATGCTCCTTGGGCCTCTCTGGGCACCAAACCCAGCCAGCCCTGTGAGGAATGCCCATTGCTACCTCTGCAAGCCAACTCAGGCCCATATCCTCTTATAGGAAAGAGAAAGAAAAACAGAAATCTCCCATGAGGGTTATATGACATTGGCAGCCAGGCCTCTGAAAGACTTGGCATAGACTTTCTTAAGGTCTTCAAGAGTTAGGGCCCATAGATCTTTAAAGGTCATTCTATCTCCAAAAACTATGTCCTATGAAAGTAAGCATCCTGTATAACTTCCCCCAGTCTCCCCAAAACACCTTCTATTGTGGACTGCATTCACTGCAGTTACTCACCATGCTCTCCCTTGTTTTTAAGAGTATTGTACAACCTCCTTCCCTTTGCCATGTATTGCAGTTTGAATGTACCCCACAGGCCTATGGTCCTCAGACCATTAGAGGTGTTGGAACCTTTAAGAGATAAGGTCTAGTGGAAGGAAGCCAGGTAATTGGAGACATACCCTTAAAGAGGATATCAAACCCCAGACCCTTCCTTCCTCTCTTTTTTTTTGCTTCCCAGCTTCTCAGGAAGTGAACAGACTCCTTCACCACAAGCTCCCACCTAGAGATACTGTACTGCCACAGAACAACAGAGCTAAGCAATCATGAGCTGAAACCTCTGAAAACATAATCCAAAACATGTCTTTTCTCTTTATGAGTTGGTATCTTGGGTAAAGCTAACTAACACATTATGTGACTTACGAAGATCCCACCCCCAATGTCAGGCTCTGCCATGTGACTTATTCTGGCCAATGGAATGCAAGCAGACATGAAGTTTGCTAAGTCTGAACCCAAGTTTTAAATGTGACTGTGTAATCTGGCTCAGCCTCTTGCTCTTCTCAGCTACAATAAAACATCAGGGAATGAGAAAACATATGAAGCAAAATCACAGCCAACACACAGCCCAGGCACAACATGAGGAAGAAAGAAACTTTTGCTTCATAAGTCACTGAGAGTTGGGGGTTGTTTGTTATACAGCCAAACTTGGAGACAGCAGACTGATCAATCACCCTCCAACATAGGAGGGGAAGGTAGCTATGGGGAGGGCGTCCACCAGCTCTTTGCACCCATACCCTACAGCTCCTATCCCCCACTTCTCAAAGTCTAGACCTCATTTCTCCCTCTACATGGCTTGCTTTCCATTCATATATACCTGAGGATCCTTAAGGACAAAGTTTTCCCAGAAGCACCCTTAGTTTATGACTCATTCCTGCCAGTGACTATAGCCAGAGGAAGGAAAAAGTGGGGTTAATGTACCAGGGATCTCAGGGAAAATCCAGAGTCCTGGATTCTGACTTAGGCTAAGTCTCAGGACCACGGGGCTCCCTTAAAGCATGAGTCTCTATGGATCTGAGTGACCTTGAGCAAGTCACTCTTCCTGTCTGAACTCATTAGTGATTTTTCAAGCCCAGCTGAGTTCCTAAGAGAAGGCTTACTCAGCAGACAGCTGAGGGGAGAAGAAGCCACTGCCACGCATCCTCAGCCCGGCTTCAGCCAGATCAGTCTGTTTGGGTCTCTTTGAGCACACTAGGTTTCCAGGTAAGATTCTGCTTGTCCAAACATTCTATATGATGAAACACAATTCAAAACCACTGACCAAGGGGTCTCTGAGGGCCTTTCCACACTGGGAACCAGGATGCCTGACTTCTTGTCTGTTCTGTGGCTGATGCTTTGCACCCTCATCAAGAACTTACCCAGAGGGCAGCCGGTGAGAACACCTGTCAAGCCGGAATGCAACAAGGTAGCTTCACAACAGCTCAACAGAGAGTTAAAAAACAGCTGTCTCTAGTTCTCCATGGTGTCAGGCTGAAGGGAGCGGTGGGGAGGGAAGGAAGGAGAGAGGGAGGGAGAGAGAAAGAAAGGGCAAGTTCAGGAAGGCCACTACGGAAGGGAGCTCAAGGTTTTAGCTTTCACTCAAGTTCTATCTTCTGCTTAAAGTGTCTGGGTCACACCCTGCTTTGTCCCCACCCCCAACATCCCAATCTGGAAAAGTGTTCTTTGGAATAAGAGTCACACTCTTAGATCACTTCACATAGCCAAGATGCCTTAGAAACTATCTCAGGGTGTGGAACATCGGTAGCCTCTTTGTCGGTCAAATTTCTCTCATTCTTCTTCTCTCTTTCTCACTCTCTCTGTGAACTCCTTTAAGAAGCTTTCATCCCAGAGAGTATGCAGGCCATAAGTCCTCTACCCGGGGGACTGAGAGCTTTTGGTTTCCTAAAACCACTTGCGGGGGACCCACATTCTAAGCACAGAAGAAAGAGACAGATCTTCACACTCAGGACTGCACTGGATTGGGGGCCACTTCCCATCTGCCCAGGCAAACTGTCCTTCCCGAAATGACTGAACAATCCCCAGTGTGATGAAAACCCGTTCTTCCACCCAGCATTGACCTTGAACTCCAGGGCAGAACCAGCACAACTGTGACCCACATTTAGTGGCTGATAAGTAGGCAAGCAGGGCAGAGATGAGGAGCGGGGATCGGAAAACAGGCCACAAGGCTGCTGGAGCAGCCAGAGAAGAAGATAAATTGAAACAGACAGAAGCTGGTCCCTGGAGACGGGAAATGCTCAGGAAAGAGAGGAACTCTGGTTCAGGGAGATTGACACAAGAGGGACAGAAGTGGAGCAGGGCACTCAGGAAGCAAGGGGCTGCTTGATGGGAAATGCAGCTAGGACTCTTCCCGGCCGGGAAAGCAGACACACAGGTCGTTTCTTCTGTGAGCAGAGATATGAGCTCACTCAGCCAGGCTGGGGTCCCAGACTGCAACCAGAAGAGACAACCCCCTTCCGTGGATCATGTTTGCTCCAAAGAGCATCAGCCTGGGCTGAACATGTGACATGTCATTCAATGTGTCGAACTGAATCTACCATGGGCCACCCCAACGTCCTCCTCATCTGTCACTCTGCTTCCTTTCATATCCCCACTCCCTCTATCTACCACATCATGACCAGAACAGCCTTTTAACTCTGCAGGTCTATCTGTCCCCTGCCATCTTAGCCTTGCTGACTGGCCTTGCACAGCCCAATCTGCTTCATCTCATTCCAGTGCAGCCCAGAGAGCCTTGCAGATCTCATACCTTCCCATGCCTCCAACCTCACCTGGCCCCCTGCCCCTTTTTTTCAGGGTTTCTTGAGCTCATCAAGCTCTTCCTTCCCTTGGGGATTCCACCCTCTGCCTAGGAAGGTTTTTTAACCCTGGATTCACCTAACCAGATCCTTCTTTGATTTCAGATCTTGGCTTACCAGTCTCAGCGCTTCCCTGACCACCCAGCTCAAGAAGGCTCTCCCTGCTGACTTCTGTTCCCCTCACCATGCTCCACTTTTCACCTTGACTGTACTTCCTGTGATGTGTGTTAACCTGATTCACTATCAGGCCCCAGCCTGAGCCAAGTGTCCTGAGAAAGCTATCAATCCAGCACAATTCCTGGGGCCCTCAGGGCTCAATGCACTGTTGCCACCTGGTTAAATGAATGAGTAATTCATCTGCCTCCAAGGGCTCACTCTCCAAACCTCCCCCAGGTCTTCCCTCTTACCAGTTATACCACACTCTACTGGAGACACTAGTGGCAGGGACAGTTAACACTTGTTCAGTGCTTTCCGTGGCTCTCAACTTTCCCCGGATCATCTCGTTCAACCCTCACAGCAACCGAATGGAGTAAAAATTTGTTATTTCCATTTTGCAGCCAAAAGAATTAAAGCATAAAACTAAGTTAGTAGCTTGTGCAAGAGCTCACAGTTAGCAAGTGTCAAAGTCAGGATTCCATTCCAGGAAGACTGACCCTTGTTCCCAGTGCTTAGCCACCCCAATATGACAACTGCCAGGGAGAGTCTCAAGATGTGTCTTTGCAGAATCAACTCCTGATTCCGTGTGGAGGAAGCAGGATGCCAATGAGTCTGCAGTGTGTTTTCTCAGCATGTGGAAATAGGTTATTGGGTGATAAATCTAATGCTTCAAAAAAATCACTGCTGCCCTGAGTCTGGGCCCTGTGTTTCCAGAAGCCCCCAAGGTCTCTGTCCTGTAAACAACTAGGTCAAATCAAAGTGAAAGAAGCATCCAGTGAGTTCTGGGTTCTTCTGGTGAGAGGAGCTTCTCCCTGGCCACTAAGACACACCCTGTGGGGGCAGCTCTTGTAAAGGGAAAAGTTGGCTTTGGCAACCTCTTGTCAATTAGCCATGTCCAGGCCAAACATAATATCTTGACAAAGAACGATTCAATCCTGTTTAAATAGGCTTTCTCCACTGAGCCCATAATACGTAATGAGGTTATTTAATCCAGAAAGAAATCCAATGACCTGGAAAAAAGATTGGTGTGCATTAAAGTGACCATTTTTTTTCACTTGCATTTCCACAAGTTCCTA